GTCAAGGCATGTATACACAGGAAAGACAAATTTTTCCAGGAAAAGTTATTCATAATTATTTTGTTGGCTAAATTTCTTTCAGGAAACATTCATAAATAATTTGGGAAGGTGGTGGATAAAACTATGTCAAATAACTAAGGTTGAAAATATGACAAAGAAGAGTGAGGCTTAGAAAGGGAGGTAAAGGAGGTCTTAAATAAATTCATGAAATCCTGATACAGGGCCTGGGTTATTGGTCCTTGAATGGACATCTGTCATACATGTCTCAGAAGGATTCAGAATATAGAGCTTCCTTCCCTGAATCAGTGAACATTGAGTCATTGGTCCTCTGGGTCTATAAAAGACAATCAGCTCCCTGAGTGCCAATTTCCTCCCTCATCTGCAAAACTGGAGCATTTGCCACAGTGTTTGCCACCTTTCCTGTCAACCCTATTCAGGGATTACTTAGACGAACTGGCAGGCACTTCAGAGGGAAGAACTTGAAGAAGGGTCTTGGATATCATCATGCTCTAGTATCCATATCTTCCAACCCCACACCCATCAGTCACCTGAGATTTAACCAGTCACACAGAAAACAGCTCTGCGTTCCTGTCAGATAAGTCTTAATTTCTTCAACTTGTAGATGAACACAGTTCAAACCAGAAATTAGGTCCCATGATTTCCTTGCTGCTAAATTAGCTGGATAAGTGGTGACTGAGTCAAATCAGCTGTTGGTGAATTTTGAATTGAAGAATCATGGTGATTATCATTTGTTGGGAGAAGAGGAAGAGGATAAGATTAGAAGAAACCCAGTAACTTATCCCTGACCTCCTATTGTTGAGTAATCAAGCCAATCGTTGACTCTTCCTGTGAAGAAGTCTTTGTTAATCATGAGGTACAGAAAATTATATTTTGGCTAAGGAGATCCTCCTGAGCACAAGTTTTGCCTATTGTAGTGACACAGGGGGAAATTATTGTAGTAAGGAGAGGTTAAACACAGGAAGTGAAATGGAAGCCTCTACATTCTGCACCCTCTCACCTCAGACTCCAGGGAACAATTGTCATTTCCCTAAGTTTGATTGGGCTGACCCATGGCTTTCCCATGGCTACCATAGATGATACTGTAATTCCTCAGAAACCATATAGATTTACACTTCCTTCAGTGTAATTGCCCTCATTTATTTCTTGGCAGTTTATTCATGACAATTTTTGGTCCAGAGGCTATTTACGGTCCTAAAAAAGATAACTGCAGAAGTTGAACAGAAATTTAGGTTGTCTCTTTCACAGACCCCAGTGAAAAATGCCATTACTTACTGCCAAGGCAAGATTTGCTCCCAAAGATGGCAGCTTTTGGACAACTACATATTCTATCTCTTGACTTACTACCAGTACTCCGCGTTGTCCTGCTAGCACAAATTCTAAGAATTGAAACCTGATTTTTATTTTTTGTTGTTGTTGTTGTTTCGTGGCTGTACTTGGCTATGCTCAAGGGTTACTCCTGGCTTTCCAATCAGGAATTCAATTCAGGTGGTTCTCTGGGGACTACATGGGATGCTCAGGGGGTTGAACCAAGATCGGTTGTGTGCAAGACAAATGCCCTACTCACTATCTAGCCGGCTGAAGTCCAATTTCAAGAGAGATAATTGTGGAAACTTTTTGTTTGTGCGCTAAAAAATCATAAAGTGACAAACAAAGATATATAACATACCTCTTAAAGTGAATATCTTATGAAAGTAAGTGATGTGCTTGTTTTTAAAGTGTGTGTTTTATTGAAGACCCCTGGTTAGATGAGGGTTGGCTATTTCTCAGTTACCAAAGGGTAATAGTAGGATGGAAAGGATTTTACAGCATTTGCTGATTTGAGACAGTATCTTCCCTGAGTTCTTGAGGTTCTTGGACTCACTCCTAGTAATACTAATGAGGCACCTCTTAGACCCAGGAATGCTAGGGGCCAGGAAGAATATACTTGTCAGTGCTGAGGAAATGGTGCATATGATGCTAGTGGTTAAAATCTGGGTCCTGTGCATATAAAGCTCATGTTCCAAGCTTCCGTAGGCCCAGATATTTTTTTAAAACTTCCTTGTCTTTTTGCATAAGATGATGGACTGTAGTAAGACAAATGATAAGAAAGGTATAAAGGACAAGCTCCAGAAGTGCACATCTCTGCTTTTTCTCCCTGACAATTTTGCCCAACCTGCTATAAGACAAGTAACATCTAGCAATTCAGTCTGAGGCACAACTCTTGTTTCTGATCATTCCCAAGTCCTCTAATAAAAGAGACTTCATTAGCACCAGATTCTTGGCCTCTCTTTCCACCCTTCTCTCATTCTTCCATAGAAACTGGCAGTGACTTACCAAGAACCAAAAAAGAATATTTGGATCCAAATGTTTTACAGCTAGCATGAGACACTGGATTAAAAGTTCAAGGCACTCTTCCAAGGTACCTCCATGATTTGTATGTAAGTGTCCCCAAGCAGAAAGTAATGAGATATACTTCTTTACTAATATCTCCCTACATTCATTCTTTGATGTGGCAAAGATACTATTCTGGGAAATGCTAGCTTACTTTTCTCTTTTGCTTTTCTGCACATGCCTCCCACATTATAAACCTAGACTCAAGTGAAGAAAGGAATCACGGCGGTTAAGCAGATGTGCCCAGATGGTACTTTAAGTCTCCTGGCTGCCTACAGAGTTGAAAGCCTGCTGAAGTGCCTGAGAGACTTAAATGCTGGGCCAAAAGATATATGGAAGACTTGTCAGACACTCAACAGCATATGTAATACCCTCAATTGCTGTGAAGAGACCAAATTTCCAGGGTCCTAACTAAGCTAAACAGGAATGGGTCAGGAGTGCATCAATCATAGTGACAAGCATCCTGCTCAAACATAAATCTGGCTTGCCATCCAGAACAGAGTCAGTTCCGGGTCTCAGGCCTCATTCTCTCAGGAGCAGAGTAGAGCTAGCCTCCTCTTCTGCACTGAATACATCTCAATGATGACCAAGGAGAAAGAGAAACAATTTGAAAGACTCAGTAATTCTACAAAATGACTAGAAATGTCCATTGTATTTTACCCAAGATTATAAATGAATTAATGTTTTTCTTTCTACAACCTCACAGGTAGGGTCCCTACTTAGGGGAAAGTTAAATTCAGGAACTGGAAGTTAAATCAAATGGTTGGAGGGGCTGGACCGAGAGTACAAGAGTTAAGTCAATATTGTCTTGCTATTAGCCAACTCTAGGTCAATTACCACCTGACCATTGCTGGGGAACAGCCCTACAGGCCCCTGAGCACCCTCAGGATAGCCTGGTAATTTCCAGAACCACAGGTCTGAACACCAACATAACCTCATACTTTCTCATTTAACCCTTAGCCTAGCTGACTGAGAATTGCAATGAAAAACCCCTGGACCTCTTGAACATTATGTGAGAGCCTCACCCACAACAAATTAGATTTAAAGAACCATTGGTGAAATACATGTCTTTCATGTACTTAGCCTGAACTAAATTCCAGTACCTCATGGTTATAGAATACTATCAGATATAAACCCAAATGTCTCTTTGAGCACTGCCTGATGGGTCCCAGCACCACTGGGCCCAGGCAACACCATAAACTGTCAGACCCATGAGCTGGGTTATGTATGACAAAGAGAATTCCTGCATTCCCTGAGCACTGCTGGAAGGGCACAACTAAACAAAACCAAATATATACATACAAATAATAAAGTTAAGGTCTGTTATAGATTGATAAATAATTTTTGCTCAATTAATACCCCATCATAGTAATTTTGTTATCATTCAGCTTCATTCCTTTATTCAAACAGTTATTAAACACTTGTTATGTGCTATTAACTATAGCAGGTACTCAGGATTCTATTAAAGTAATGAGAACTGGAGGAATTTTTTGGTTGGGTGAAATACAGGCTACCTAGACCTATATGCCAGTGAAAAAATTCTTTAAATAAGATTATGGCCTATGCGGGGAAGGATGGGAAATAAATAGCACAAGGCTTCTAAAGGGCTATCTCTCTGGTACAATAGTGTTTACTCCTATTAGATTAACTGGCCAGAGGCTACTGCTATTCCTAACTCTAAGTCTCTGTGCAGTAGGAAGGAAACCACACTGGAAGGATAGAATGAGAGTGAAACACAGAGCCCCACCAACAGCCAGTTGAAATATTTTCTAAGTCATATTGTTGAGTGAAAAATATTCATACAAAACCATTATTGGAAGAAACAAAGAACCATGAAGATTATGGAGATTTAACCATCTCTGCAGGGTTTCTAAATCCCATTGTAAAAATGATGAGTTTGGTGTGTAGGAAAATTCATAAAATATGTCACTCTGACAATTGGTCCAAGAGGAAATGCAAATAACCAACACAGAGAGATAATTTATATTTTCACAATCTAAGATGTGCACGTTAAAGCAAGCTTTAAGAACTGTTTTCATGTGAACTGAAAATGAAAAATAATCCACCAGAAATAGTTAAAAACAATGAACTATTTGTAGCTAGCTATATTACTGTTAGTGTGGTGAATGAATATAACCTTTTTGGGAAAGCAATTGACAAAGATAGAGCAATAAAGATGGTAATATATTTTGATTACTAATTTCACTCTTAAGAATTTGATCAAGCGTAGAGAGATAACCCAGGGATTGTAGTACTTTTTTTGTATGTATCAGACCCCACTTTGATTTTTGGCAGCACATGGTACCCTGAATGGTTCCCAGGTGCATCTCTGGAGGTCTCATGCATCAGTTGGGTGGACCTGGGGTCCCTAAACACCACTGTGGTGGCCCAAGAAATACCTGACACCTCAGAACTCAAGCAGCACTGCATCTGAGCCGTCACACTGACTTGAGGTCAATTGGCCAAGAATCAAAAATGGGGTCCACAAGTCTCCTGAGCATCACTTGGGAAGCTTCCCCCAGAAAAGATTTTCACCTAGAAAAAGAATTCAGTAAAAGCAAAAGCATGAAGAGTGAAGAATGACTTTTTCTTCCCTCCCTAACCCCCAACAGAAGAGAGGGTGAATCCAGTACCCCACTATCACACATTATGCAGTCAAGTTTTCCACATTTGGGGAAATTGCAGGGGTCAGCACATTTGAAAGGCAAAGGATCAGCTTTGCCCTGGGAAAACTACCGTCATGATCCTGGGGTCTCTCCTGTCAGATAAGTATAATAAGTATAATAAGTATAATAAAATAACTATCACTTAATCACTTAACTTCCTGTTAGTCGTCGATTTGCTCGAGCGGGCGCCAGTAACGTCTCCATTTGTCCCTGTCGCGTGCTAGTGTAGCCCAATGGCATCTCTTCGCTCCGGGAACATGGAGGGCCTCAAACCGATCGTTCATGACCTTGACAAAGAAGTCTGACCATCTGGTAGGTGGGCGGCCACGCGGTCTCTTGACATCCCGTGGAATCCAATCAGTAACAGCTCTAGTCCAGCGGTCGTCTTTAAATCTCATTACGTGACCAGCCCATCTGATTTTCGACACCTTGGCAAATGAGACAGCATCCCTGATCCTTGATCGTCGACGGATGTCAGAACTCCGGATTCGTTCTCTCATTTGAGTGAAACGTGATATTCCAAGCATAGCTCTTTCTATTCTTCTTTGGGAGACCTGAATGGCGTTCTCATCTTGTTTGCGTAGGGCCCAGGTCTCTGAGGCATATGTTAATGCAGGAAGAACAGTGGAATCAAAGAGATGTGCCCGGAGCCGGAGGTTCTTCGTCCTCTTAGCTATTTCTTCGACGTTCTTGAAGGCGTTCCAAGCCGCTCTCTTCCTCCTGCGCAGCTCGGGTGCCAGGTCATTTGTCATGTTGACCTCTCGACCTAGGTACACATAGCTGTTGCATTCGGAGATGGTCGTTCCATTGAGAGTGAATGGGGCGTCAGGAACAAGGCTGTTTCTCATAAACATTGTCTTCGTAAGATTCAGCTGTAGTCCTACCTTTCCACACTCACGGTCAAAGTCGGCCAGCATTTGTGCCGCTTGGCTGATGTTTGGTGTTATTAAAACAATGTCATCAGCAAAGCGGAGGTGGTGTAGTTGCCGACCATCTATCTTCACTCCCATTCCTTCCCATTCCAGTCGTCGCATGATGTTCTCGAGGGTGGCACTGAAGAGTTTTGGTGAAATGGTATCACCCTGTCGCACCCCTCTCTTGACATCAACGATCACTTCTTTGTAGAATGGTGAGATCCTGGTAGTGAATCCGCAATACAGCTCACGGAGGATCCTGATGTATTGGGCTTGAATGCCCTGATTGGCTAGGGCTTCAATGACCGCTTCCGTCTCAACAGAATCAAAGGAAAATAACTATAATTTATCATATTATCTACATAAGGGAGGAAGGATACAATCTGAAATTTCCATTATTGGACACTGTGGATACAGTGACACTGAATTAGCATGCAGTCACCTCATTAAACAGCCAGGAAAAGCATGCATCAATATGTAATCAGAAAATCTGAGTTAACCATGGTACTAGAAGTACCACTATGGGAAACCCAAACATAAATAATGAGGAGACGTAGTAACAGACATATATAATAAGAGACTATAACACCAAACTCCCGGAAGAGAACAAAGCAGAATCTCCTACCCCCAAGCCTGACTGTCCTCACCAGGGCACGACAGCTGAAGACCTCCGGGACCCAGTCAAAGCCATGCTGAGACCACTCTCCACACTCTAGGATGAGCCTCACACATAAAAGAACCGGCAGAGGAACCCAGCAGTGTGGGACCCGGGGCTGAGATCTCCCAGCCTGCATGGTTCGGGACTGGGCCTTCCAGTAGCTAGACAGTTATACCCACCAACTGCCGTGTAACCCCATCAATGGCCAGGATCCAGAGACTATAATACCAAGCTATCAGACATCTTATTCTCTAACTCTCGCTCTCAGAGAACCCGGCAGGCTACTGAGAGTATCGTACCAGCACTTATGCCTGAATAGGAACACCTGTAAAGTATATTTGTGTTTTCAGGCTACCGAGAATATCCCACCCCCACGGCAGAGCCTGGCAAGCTATCCGTGGTGTATTCTATAAGCCAAATCCAGTAAATACAATGGATCTCATTCCCCTGACCCTGAGTACGGCAGCACTGAGAAGGATGTGGAAGGAGAGGCGGATAAAATCTCAAGGTCGAACTAGGCTGTCAAAACGAAGAAAGAAAAAAATGACTGTCTGTACTTTAAATGCACGTACCCTGGCATCTGATGCCTCCATTGAGGACCTGATGGTACAAGCGTGAAAGATCAAGTACGACATCATCGGTCTGACCAAGACAAGAAGGCATCAATCACATCACATCGTTTTTGACACTGGAGAAGAACTGTTCCTTGGAACATGTGACAAAAGAGGCGTCAGTGGTGTCAGTGTACTTGTCAACAGAAACTTAGCCATGAGCATTGATTCATTCGAATACCTAACAACTCAAATTGGATGATTACACTTGAATGGATGTGGCTCACTGCCAGCAGTTTCTATCTTCATTGTCTACACACCAACATCCAATTATGGTGAAGGTGAAATTGAGAAGTTCTACATGGAGCTGGAGAAGTTCTATAAAGAAGACCACACCTTCTATAAGATCATTGTCGGTGATTTTATTGCCAAGATAGTACCGAGAAGATCAGCCGAAGAACTCCACATTGGGACCCGTGGCCTAGAATGAAACGAACAGGGTGGCAGACTGTCTGAGTTTATCATGTCGAACAAAACCATCCATGGTAACTCACAGTTCCAAAAGGCCAAATCTAAACGTTGAACATGGGGATCTCCTGGTGGATGGTTCCACAATGAAAATGACCACATCATATTCAATTGATAGTTTTGCCTGACTGCTGTTGCTGTTATCCCAAAATTCCAAATGGGATGGGACCACATCTCCTTCGTGAAAAATTCTGCTTCACAGAGCAGGGAGAAAGGAATGCAAATTTTAAGAAGAGAACTCCCAGAACGACCACCAACTGGGAGCTCTTTGGCTCTGTTGCAGCAACATGGGAGGATGCCGTCATTGACATTGAAGAGGAATACGATCGACTGGTTCAGCACTTCTATGACTGTGCGAGGAATGCCAAGAGAGAGATAACCACAAAAAATGCCTTCGAACACTCTTGAGCGTATTCGCCAATGTGGCTTGGCACATGGCTCAGGCAACCGCAAGCGAACGTGCAAACTTGCAAAACAGTGCAGAGAAGCGTTCAAGGATGACCTCAAAGACAGAAGAGCAGCAGTGCTGGTAGATGTGGAAGAAGCCAGGAAAAGCATTCGTAATGCCCACCTGTCCTTCACCAACTACAAGACCAAGATGACTGCCCTCCAACATCCTCATGCATCTATCACATCTTCCAGAAGGGCAATGGTGAAGATTATTCATGACTTCTACTCAAATCTCTTTAATAGCGACATCTACTTGCCCACATACCAAATTCCGCAGGATGGATATGTCGTTCCCAATGTTCTCCCTTCCAAAATCCGACATGCCATCTCGTCGGTAAAGAAACAAAGAGCACCTGGCCCAGACAAGGTCAGACCTGAACACCTGAAGAACCTACCGTCAGTACTCATCAATACACTGTCTCGGCTCTTCACACACTACCTGTCTGAATGTAAGGTTCCGTCCCAATGGAAAACCAGCAGGACTGTACTACTATACAAGAAGGGAGACATCCACAACATTGGCAACTATTGCCCAATATGCCTATTGTCTGTCATCTACAAGCTGTTCACTTGAGTCATCCTGAATAGAATTGGCAGAACACTAGATGAAGGACAACCATGCGAGCAAGCCGGGTTCCTCAAACGATTCAGCACCATCGACCACACAATAGCCAAGCTCATTGAGGTTTCTCGGAAGTTCAAGATGCCGCTCTGTCTAATGTTCATTGATTTAAAGAAGGCCTTTGATTCTGTTGAGACGGAAGCAGTCATCGAAGCCCTAGTCAATCAGGGCATTCAAACTCAATACATAAGGATCCTCCATGAGCTGTATTACAGATTCACTACCAGGATCTCACCATTCTACAAAAAAGTCATCACCCATGTCAAGAAAGGGGTTCAGCAGGGTGATACTATTTCACCAAAACTCTTTAGTGCCACACTCGAGAACATCATGTGACGACTGGAATGGGAAGGAATGGGAGTGAAGATAGATGGTCGCCAACTACACCACCTCTGCTTTGCTGAAGACATCGTTCTAATAACACCAAACATCAGCCAAGGGGTACAAATGCTGACCGACTTTGACCGTGAGTGTGGAAAGGTCGGATTATAGCTGAATCTCACAAAGACAATGTTCATGAGAAACAGTCTTGTTCCTGACATTCCATTCGCTCTCAACGGAATGACCATCTACGAATACAACAGTTATGTGTACCTAGGTCTAGAAGTAAACTTGACGAATGACCTGGCACCTGAGTTGCACAGGAGGAAGAGAGAGGCTTGGAATGCCTTCAAGAGCATCAAAAAAAACTAAGAGGATGAAGAACCTCCAGCTCCGAGCACATCTCTTCTATTCCACTGTTTTTCCTGCATTAACATACACCTCAGAGACCTGGGCCCTATGAAAACGGGATAAGAACTCTATTTGGGTCTCTCGAAAAGGAATCAAAAGAGCTATGCTTGGAGTATCACACTTTACTCAAATGATAGAAAAAAATCCAGAGTTCCGACCTCCATCAACACTCAAGAATCAAGGACGCTGTCTCGTTTGCCAAGGTATCGAAAATCAGATGGGCGGGACATGTAATGAGGTTTAGAGATGACTACTGGACTAGAGCCATTACCAACTGGATTCCATGGGATGTCAAAAGATCGCGTGGACATCCACCTATGAGATGGTCAGACTTCTTCGTCAAGACCCTGAATGATCAGTTTGAGGCTCTTCATGTTCCTAGAATGAGCAGATTCCATTGGGCTATGCTAGCACGCAACGGGGATGAATGGAGACGTTACTGGCACCCACTCGAGCAAATCAATGAGTAACGGGATATCAAGTGATCAAGTAACAGATGTGGTGGGATGCCATGATGATGATTTTCCCAATATTTTAAGCATTGCTACATCTCATTTATAATGTAGAATTGCCCACCAATGAAACCCAAGTTTCCCATCAAATGATTCAGTTGTGCATTGTCTCATAAATTTCAAAAATAAACAGTTACATG